AAGCCAACCCAAGCAGGAAAGTCCAGGAGACTCTTATTTCCAATTGATTAACCAGCAAAAAGCTGGCCCAAGTGTGGCCCAAGTGGTATAGTGCCAGCCATGGGCAAAAATGCTAAGGAACAATGTCCAGGCCCTGAATTCATGCCCCAGTACCAGTGCACACCACACACACACATAATCTGACATTGCTCATTGTAAATGTAATACAAACATTTCAAAAACTAGGCATTTTATTAAGTTTAAAGAAATTGGCATATGTAAAATTAGATCCTTATTCATGTTATTTTCTATTCTAATAAAACAAAGGAAATGCAAATATCTACCACCATAGATTGAAACTTGCCACAGTAAGTGATCTTTTCATTCACATAAACTGCAATATATTAACATTTAAGAAAAGACAGGAGAGTCCTGGTAATGTGTTAGCATGATTATCAAGTAAATGTGGAACGAGTCTCCACATGACATTTATTTTCATTGGAATTTGTCAGTTCATTTCTAACTTTAAAATTACGTACTTGTTTCCTAAAAGACACTCATGTGTATTAAATTTTTTGCCAGTGAGGAACAAGCCATAATTCACTCATGAGTAACTACTGAATGCTGACTATATGTCAGGCTTGTAAAAGTTGAGTTCAGTAAGAAGTACCAGTAAGCACTGGGGATGTAGAGCTCTTGTCTACTTACTACATGTGATGCCTGGGCATCATGCACGTGATTTCACTGCCAGATATGGTGGCACAAGCCTGTAGTCTCAGCAGCTGGGAGGTTGAGGTAGGAGGATGGTTTGAGTCCAGAAGTTTGAAAAGAACCTGGCTATGAGAGAGCCCTCCCCCATCTCAAAAGAGAAAAAAAGATAAACTAAGTACCAGTAAATATTAATTTAAATCTACATCTTTTTCTTTTCTTAAAGGGAGTAAAGTAATAGTGTTTCTGGTGAAATTTTAATGTTAATCACCCTAACATTTGGTTCCACAATTGAGTATGTGAAGTGAAATTGTGGAGTTTAACCAGTGAAGACTGCTACTGTAATACAAAGTTTTATTTTAAAGTTCTATATTTTATTAAATACATGAATTTATTAGTTTTGTCCATCAACATAAACTTCCTCACCTAGCAAAATACAAGCAATTTAATTTACTTGAAAATCTATTACTTGAACAATCTAGTGCTCATGATTACAGATTTTGCTATGAGCAAGGGCACTACTAATTAAGCATCAGGAAAAGTTGACTTCTTCCTTTTCTATAAGTGGTTCACCTTTCACATTTATTGGCCTCATTCCAGGTTCCATGCCAACCAACTATGAGCTCTACTATGGTTTCACGAGGTTTGCCATTGAGCTCAATGAGTTAGATCCTGTACTAAAAGACCTCCTTCCACCAACAGATGCCCGATTCAGGCCAGATCAAAGGTAAGGACAGAAGCAGTATTTCAGGTGCATCTTAGACCATGGCACAGTGTTAAAGATCACTAAGATGTAACCTCATCACCATCATGTGCTTATTCAGTTCATCATTCCTTCTGATAGACATCACTCATTAACACTTGAGTCTTCTTTTTACTTATCTTTAAGCAGGTGTACAAAGGAGTTGCCTTATAACAAAGCAGTTATGAATAGAATATGTCTTGATCAATGTCACCCCTTTCAACAGTCTCCCCCATGCCTCCCAACTTACCCCTTCCCTCATTTTCTTAATTTTGTAGAATAAACTGAATTCTTGAGTGCATTCTCCCCCACTTCTCTTCATTCATCTACCCCTCTCCCCTTGAACCTACTCTACCCCTTTAAAGTACTCACTTCCTGGTGTTTATTTTTTAAACTTTGTCTTTCTAAGGAATTATACTATTTGAGTTCTCCCTTGAATCTCCTGTATTTCGGCTAATACATTTATATACACTTGTATACAATCCAAGATATTTACTTATGTGTTTACAAACTATTTCTGGCTTCCACATATGAGCGAAAGCATGCAACCTTTGTCTCTCCAGTGTATTTACACAATGAAATTTTATTCATCCATTAGAAAGAATGATACTGTATCATTTGCAAAGAAGTGGAAGGATCGGGAAAAAAAGTATGTTAAGTGAAATACTTTTTTTCTAATCTAGGTAAAGTATGATGATAATAACAGAGATGATAATAACAGAGACTTCTTTCAACACAAACCTCCAATGAGCCATAACAGCTGTGTTCTACATTAAGTTTCTCCATCCTCACATTTTCGAAAAGTCTACAAATACAAGAGCTCTGCACTAAATGGAAATTCACTCCTTTCCCAGTGTTTTTAACCCCTGTAGGCTATTATTCTTTAATATGGAGTATCTTTTAAACTGATTATAAATAAAAGGATAAGTTACAGGGGCACCTAGAGATTTTTTTTTTAAATATTGTTTGCCCAACATATTTGGGTCCCTCAGTATATGAGACTTACCAAAATATACTGTCTTTAATGCTTTCTGATTTTTATGGGATTTTTTGGAGGGGTGAGGAGAAGCCTTTGGGTTTAAACTCAGGGCCTAGGCACTGTTTCTGAGTTTTTTTACTCAAGGATAGTGCTCTACCACTTGAGCAATAGCTCTACTACTGACTTTTTTGATCATCAATTGAAGATAAGAGTCTCACAGACCTTCCTGCCTGGGCTGGTTTCAAACCACAATCCTCAGAATTCAACCTCTAGAGTAGCTAGGATTACATGCATGAGCCACCCATGCCTGGTTGATGCTTTCTTTTTATTATTTGTTTCTAATAGTCATGATGATTTCTCTTACAAAATTCATTCTACTTTTTCCAAAAATTCTATATGCCATCCAAGTTCCATTCATGACCACTTTTATGTTTTTCAAGTATTTGTACATTAACTGTCTTCTGCTAAAATGTTCTTGGTAGTGAACGTTCTGCTGTCCAATATATTTTTCAATATCTCCTACTGTTGAATGTCATTTTATTCTACTTTATTACCCACCACCCAGAACGTGCAGTCTATTTGACATTCAAATTTATCTTGATCATCAGTCTCTTGTTGAGATGTAAACATTCGCAAATCACCTTTGGGTCTGGTTTGTTTGTTTCCTTCACAATTCTGTTTCAATGTTCCTTCTCTGAATTTCTGTCCTATTTGTTTTTATTACCCAGCTTTTTGTAAATTTCCCCAATTGTTACCTTCTTTTTTCATCACTCTTATTCTCTCCAACCAAACAGAAAAGCTCCCTTGCCTCTCAGTGTGTTCTCAAAATAGATAGAGAATAGCCAGCTACCACCCTCCATCCAAGCCTTTAGCAAGTGCCTTTTGGTATTGTGGGAAAGAAGTGCAACTGTGACTTCATGCTGATTTCACCTTAGACTCTGCCATAGTCCCAAAAAATCTCAAGACAGCCTAGCAGTCTTCAAGGCCAAATACATCACCTCTCCCTTCTTTCAAAGTGCAACAATTCATTCCATGTGAATGAAGAGCCTAATAATTGAGAGAGGGACAGAGGTGAGGGTCAGTTACTGTCCCCTGTTCACTCCCAGCACCTAGAGTGTAATCTTATGCCAGTGAGACTCACTTTTCTAAAGGGAGGATAACATTTGAAATATCAACTGCTTTCTGATCAGATTTTTGGAAGAAGGAAATTTAGAAGCTGCAGCAGCAGAGAAGCTAAGAGTAGAAGAACTCCAAAGATCTCGAAGACGATACATGGAAGAAAACAACCTTGAACATATACCAAAATTTTTTAAGTAAGTAGCATTTTTAAGTAAGTAGTCCTTCTGTAGTGTCTAGATCCATCTGTTGACTAAACAAACCAACTCTGGGTAGCATCAGATCCTTCAGAGTTTCCATTCCATGACCGCCAAGTGCTTTATAAATGGTTGTGACAAGCCATGAGAAACCGGAGATGAAAATTAAGTGAGGGATAGTGTAGTGTCCAGGGAACTCTGATTAACATTAACTTCAATTTTGTTAACTTTAGTTTTGACAGTGAAAATATTGAGTCAGATTTTACATGGGAAAAGTTAGCAACTATAGAAAGGAATGCTTCTCTGTAGATCTTTTCTTTCTGTTGACGATATAAGAGAATGAGGATCTCACCCCAAAAGGCTTTGTCCATCAGCTGCACCATTTAGAATGGTAAAAACATGTCCCTGCTCCTCATTAAGGGCCTGGGTCACTCGAGTTCATTAGGATTTCCTTTTGCTTTCATCACACAGAGTTTACATCTTCTCAGATTTGGGCCCTCTGGTACTTCACACCGATGAATCTGTAGTTTCTAGATCCATCTGTGGACAATTCCAGGGCCAATCCAACACTGAGTAGCCTCACATCCCTTAGAGTTGCCATTCATGACTGCCATGGGGTAGAAATGCAGCCTTGCCCTTCAGGTATCTGTATACCTGCACCTCACAAAAGCTCTCTGAGAAACTGATGCTGCATGCTCTCCCCTGAACAGAAAGTAAAAACTATGCTTGAGCCTGGTGGTAGGAGTACTTGGTTATAATATTTTTATATGCTATGTTTGGGGTCCTTTGCTTTCTATCTCTGCCTAGAGGTAATTTGCTTCTGTCCTCAGTCTTTCTTTTACCTGCTTCCATTTCAAGCCTGTAACAATAAAAATTAATTCATTTCTGGCCAAAAATATGGAAATTATCCATTATTGCTAGATAGGACAATAACCAGCTTGAAAATTACTGCTTCTATATGAATAAGGGTACAATTATCAAGTGACCTTGATGTGGTTTGTAGCTAATGCTGAGTTTTATATTTCCACAGAAAAGTTATTGATGCAAATCAAAGAGAAGCCTGGGTTTCTAACGACACCTACTGGGAGCTTCGAAAGGACCCTGGGTTTAGCAAAGTAGACAGCCCTGTTCTTTGGTAAACTGGAGACATTAAGCTAGCAAACATATCACACTCTGAATGAATAAATAACTATGCACAATTATGTTTCGTATAGCTACGCGTGGTTTCTGGGTCGACTGAAAACCTACCATTTGCTTTTCTATTCATCTTTATAATGGATTTTCAAAAGTGCATTAGACCAGGTTCCTAACCACTTTTGGATCCTTTCTGTTTTGCTGCAACCATATTCCTTAAAAAAAACTTTAAAAAACCCCATTATGTATATACACACACACACACACACACACACACACACACACACACACACACACACACACACACACACATATACATATATACATATATATATATATATATATATATATATATATATATTCCACGCCCTCAGAAAGCAGAATAAAAGGAACAGAAGATAAAAATCCAAAGCCTGAAGCATTTGTAAGGAAAAATGAACTGTAATTGGTGCTTAAAGATGATGAAAAGTGTTAAAAAAAATAGAAACTACATGTTTGGTCTCTTGTCTGGAAGCACCATCTCTTCCCATAGGAGCTCCTGGGCCACTGCCGTAGGGTGGCTCAGATGTCAAGTGTGTTTTGGATGTGGTATGCTCATGCCAGCCTTGTTGAAACAGACTTGATGCTTCCCAGCACCTGTTCCATCTGTATGCCATTGTTCATGCCTTAAGAAATGCAAAGATGTACAATAAATCATTTTTTATGTGATCTCATAGGTTTATGTGAAGGACAGATCTTTTGAATCGTAGCATGATTCACTTCCTTGATCAGAACAATGATTCACCTAGCCTAATTGGATTGAATAAGTGAATAACACGTGCTTTACTTTGATAAGTCAGGTACTATATGGTATATCTTAAAGGGTAAGAAAGAAAAGATGTCCTTAGTAAAACTCTGTGTTCAGGATGCTCATTAAGTACCTATCTGTCAGATAATAAACCATCCCTCTTCCTTCCAACTTCAGTGTGCCCCATTATTTAGTAAAATCTGTGTCATTTGGACATTTGTCATCAGTGTTAAAACTTTGGAAGGAAATACAAAAAAACCTATGGAATGTATGTATGGACTTTGTAGTATATAAAAATTACTGTTTTTGAGTGAAGCACAATGTAAGGCACATCTCTGACCCATGACACTATTCAAATACCGTTGAGAACAGAAACAAGGATGCTACTAGCTTATTTGCTTTGTTAAGTGAATCCTATGCAAAATCCTATTTCCTATTTTTTTTCAAGTCTGTATGATACATGACTACATATTAAGCACTTACCTTGATAGGGGCAGAAATATAAATCTTAAGCTAAAGAATTCATTCATCCCAAAGGGGAGAGGGCAGGCAGAAATGTATTTTGCATACTTTAGGATTTTTTTTTTCCTTCACTATAATATACAGAAGCTTTTGTAGGAAACTTGCATCAGTATTCCTAAGTTTCTGCACGTAGATAGATGACTACATAAATACTTGTATGTTTAAAAAAATCTCTAGAGATTTTCCTAGCAAATTATAAAATTACATATATTTTATTGTTAGATTTTTATTCTTAGATTCTTACCATCAGAATTGAATTTAAGTGTTATTTTAAACTCTGATAACAATGTTACTGAAATTTTGTATTTTGCTATGAGATGTTGATTTTAAGTGTTATATCTCCTCAGCAAAGCATTCCTAATAATGGCTAACTCATTATCAAACAAAAGAGAAGAATTTATAATCATAATCTAAAAACCCACTGATGCACATATAAGAAGAAACTCTAAAATTTCCACTAGATGGAGCAATATTTGAGTTATCCTGAAACTCATTCCGCCTTTCATCTAAGTCCATCCACTATGTTACAATTTGCATTTGTTAGAATGGAATTTTATTCTCAAATAAATTCCTTAATTCATCACCAGATCTACACATTCCTCTTAAACACTTTTCTCAAGTACTTGAACTACCATTTTTAATCTGTAGGTGACTTGCCCTATGGTTATAAAATCTTCCTCTTTTCATTGATTTTTGTTTTCCTGTTCATTCTTTTAACTCCCTTTATTTTCAAGATACTTGAGGCTTCAAGATGCGGGTCTTTAGTTTTAATTAGAATTTAATCAGAATCCTAAAAAAAAAAAAAAAAGAATTTAATCAGAATCCTGTTGGCTTCCTTACAGAGTTTTCTATGATTGGTAAAGCTTAAGTACTATGTGCTGTGGTTTGGGCCCATACTTAATAAAATTTCCCAGGACAGTCCTAAAATAGGCTAAATATAAGAAAAGAATCCTGCAGCATAAAGTTTCTACAATTAGAAAAAGAAGGCAAAGTCTCTGGTGACCAGAAGATGTGGTATCAGTCAGAAAAGTGGAAGAGAACCCAAGACCTATCAGGCAGCATTACAGTATATAGCATTTGGATTCTTCTTGAGAACAAAGAAAAATAGTAGATAAGACCTTAACTAAAGAGCTGTTGCAGACTCCAAATCAAATGGGTAACTTGAAATACTGATTCAGATTGCAAGATGAGAATGAGAAAATGTCAAATTAATTTAAATCACTACATTTTATAATGTCATGTTATAAACCTCTTTTGGGATTTGAATACCCTAATTATTTCCATTCAAGTGAATGACTAAATTTTAGATAATGCTCTGTAATACCTTATTCAGTAGTCTCTCCTGATCAGGCATTTACATTACTGTAGTTACTGGCCGCAATACCTTTTCTGTATCATTTTTATTGACATAGTGGTTATAGAAATTCTAAGTGTTACCCCATGGGAATTTCATCTAAACCTTATTTGGGCCTTAGAAACTAAACAGCAAAAAGGTAGAGTATTGGGCTGGGAATATGGCTTAAGGGTAGAGTGTTTGCCTAGCATGCATGAAGCCCTGGATTCCATTTCTCAGCACCACATAAACAGAAAAGGCTGGAAGCGGCACTGTGGCTCAAGTGGTAGAGTACTAGCCTCGAGCAAAAGCAGCTCAGGAACAGTGCCCAGGCCCTGAGTTCAAGCCCCAAGACTGGCACACACAAAAAAAGCATTACTCAATTTTTTCATAAAACCTATGTAGCCCTTGGAATTTTATATACATCATTGTTATGTCAGGAACACTTTTTTTGGTTTTCCCTAAAGTGATCTAGGATAGAGTAAGACTTGACATGTCTGTTTACCTCTCCTGTGGTTTGTTTGCCATCTCCTTTCTCTTGTTAGAAATGGCCATTAAGGAAAGCAGTACTAAGTGAAAATGATGGTATGGACTTTGCTAGACTGAACAGCTTGATGACAACAAGCCAGCACTTGGACAGACCCACCAAAAACTAATTGTTTTGATTTTGAATGCAGCTACCTAAGGTGCAAATTTGCTCTCTAGTTTTGCTATTTCTTTATTGTTTTTCTTATTACATCATTCCTTATCATGAATTACTTTGAAATACCTTTTTTTTTTATAATTTCCAAGCAGTTATAAAAATTGCACCTCTCTCTTAGAATACCTCTTAATGGTCCATGTTAATTATATGTAAAGGTGGGGGACCAAATACAATTTTGTAAGAGAAAGAGTTTTTTTCAATACAAAGGATGCCAAGCTGTCAACTCTCCAAACCTTTTGTTCCTTTGGGTTATTCTGGCTCCATGCCTTTCAACTTCCCACTAATCAGTCATTAGCGCCTATCCATGGGGACAGGTAGGGGCTAAGGAGGCAGATCTGCTTAAACTGTTTTGCTTAATAGTGATTATAGCTGAGACTGGAGAAGAGTTTGGAATCATAATCTAAAGTCCATTTGTATATTAGCTTGTGGATTTTAATTACCATCTTGTCTAATCTTGTTCTCTGTCATCTAGATAATGAAGTGTTTATAGGAGCAGAGCTCCACACACATCAGGGAGTGTAGTAAATGTTTGCACTTGGCTCAGTGCTCAGTACATTATGAATGTGGCACAGTAAATAAAGTCTGTGTACAAAGTATTAGTTTATTTCTATGAGAGACATGTTCAGGATATATAAAATGGATCTAATTAAACTATTATGAATCTTCTTTGTGCTTTAGAAATGTTCTTTGGGGGAAACTATAGAAAAATGTGTCAATGAAGTTAAAATTAAAATGTGGAAATTTTTGTTGTTTTTCTTTAATGGTAGTTTTGTTGTTTGAGAGGTTTTGTTTGTATTTATGTTTTTTTTTTTTCAAAAAGCTTCCCAGTTACTGAAAACTACTCTATATGGAGATAGGGTTAGATCCTCTTAATTCTTAATTGAAGTTATTTTGTAAATTTGGTACTTTTAAACTGTACATTGCATGCAACTTTCTCTTAAATGGAACCTGTCATTGTTTAATTTTAACTTTAAAATGTATTCCAAAGAACATACATATGTTGTAGAGTTATAAGACCTTATCCTCTTAGACAAAATGGCAATTTGTGTGAGAAAGATTTAGTTAAATGACTTCTTTAAAAACATTTTTGTGAAGAACCCATGTGGCCAACATATTAAACAAATGAGGCTTCAGGATTAAGGCAGCTTACAGGTGGCACACTTACCTGTCATACAAAGCCTTTCATTTCCAAAACAGTATCTGACTTCTTTCCTCTTGTCCTAACATTGTGAAAGGTATAAGTATACATGTCTGTTCCTTGCACCAAAGCGTTAACATTAGAGACATACATAGTACTTGTGTGTAATTTGAAGTCATTCAATATTAGAAACTTTATTTCCTCTCTTGGGACACTATTGATTGTTCATAGATTAAAATTTACCTCAATATATGATGTGTTACTTTTGTATTTTCATATGGATAGGAAAAACTGTGATGCAAAAACGTTGTTGCTTTGTTTGCAAGTTTTGTTTCTAGCCCAAACCTACCTTCTAAATATGGTAGTTGTAGAGAGAAGAATATTAAGTTGTTGTAAAGCAATATGTTATCCTATCTGGGATCACCTGTTTTGTCTAACACTGTTACTTACTAGGTTAAACAACTGAACTCTTCATAAAGTGAGAGAACAATGCAAAACTACTGCTTCTTTATCTGGCCCTTGATTATTTTTAATCTATCAGTTCCTTAGGAATTAAAGAGGCTGTGACGCTTAAAAAAAAAAAAACCCAAGATATAACGGACATATGATGGATCTCACATATTTGACCACACTACTTGACACATGTTGGCATATATATGTCTCCCCAGACTTACATAATACTTCTCAATTAACCAGAGCCAATTGTTGATCTGTTTTGTTTTGTTTGTTTTGTTTCAGTTGTA